GGTCGGCCAAGTATGCATTTTTTGCACGTTTACGCTCCGGCGGAGCCAAAAACAAAGATCCACCTTCTGGAGTATGATTCCTTAGTCTTATACCCACAGCTCCTTCAGATTTGGCACGCTACCTGGTAAAGATCCTGATATGAAATCCCACAACGGAAGGCGTTCTATACCTCGACCCCAAACTAGGCAATAAGCCCAAAGGTCTCAGCCCTAAAAGCCTGAGACCCTGAAGTCCTAAGAAACCCTCAACCCTACACCATAAATGATATATAGTAGTTTCCATGTTCTTTTCCATCATTACTACTAAGTCGCTAAACCCTAAACCCCATATAGGCCCATTGGAGTCATTTCCATGTTGTTTTGCCATTATCCTTTCATAAACCCCCCAAAATGCCTCAAAGCCCTAAACCCTAAACCCTAAATGATAAATAGTAGTTTCCATTTTCTTTTCCATTATTTGTTATTATGAATTCCCCAAACCCTAAGTACTTTAAAGGTGAAGATCAACGAGACAGACCTGGGCGATGGTGACGACAGCGAGGACGGAGTCGAGTTCGATGAGGCCAGTCTGCTTGCCTTCATAGCTTTATAAGGGTCCAAAGCACATAAGTATGGTTTAGGGCTTAGGATTTTAAGGGTCTAGGGTTTAGGGCTTCAGGGTCCAAAGCAAATAAGTGTAATGCAGGTTGTAGGGTTTAGGATTTTGGGGGTGTAGGGTTTAGGGGTTTAGGATACGTGGTTTCTGGTTGAACGCTGTTTAAGGCCCTAGAACTTATAGATCTATATGCTCATATATCGTTGATAATGACAGGTACATATGGCTTCCAAGAATACAGGCCTATTCCCCGGACCCACTAGCCCTTTAAGGGTGTTGTAGAACAATTTTAGGGTTTAGGGAACAGGGCTCTAGGCTGAGGGTTTGTAGTTTCCAGGGTCATTGCTGGATATAGCTGTCAAGGCTTATGATGCAACACCTCAAGGCATACTCAACCCAATAACGAGAGCCGAGTTAAACTTCTTTGAAGCATCCCAACAAGGAAACCGAAGAACATAGGTTGGGTTTCCACAGCAGTCCCCCAACTTTTCTCGCTCAAGTAATGTTATTCCCTTAACAAAGGTCCTACACATGATGACACAGGGTGAGTGCGTTTGGGGCACGCTAGGAGTTCTAATGACCGAGTATATGGACTATGAGGACCTCATAATATGAGGGTCCCCCATATGGATTGTTTATGGCCGTGCGCGACAAACTCTCGTTTCTTCAATACCTGCACCCTAGCAGTTCAAAGGTGGAAATTAATGCTACAGGGCCCTTATTTGGAGTCTACATCAACCTCATTGGGGTGTAGGGGTGTTAGGGTGGGGTTAACATACGACCCCCTGATTCCAGTGCTGGCTTGCTTCACCTATCCGTTTTCTGTGATGATTACTTAGCTTGTCAGGTTTAGGACAAGGATTTGGTCTCGGGCCCCGGGTTGCTGTTCTAGGATGTAGGGCTTGCTTGGGGCCTCTAAACCTTTAGGCCTCATAGAAATTTGAGTTCAGGGTTCAGTACCTGTCGGGGCGCGCTTGTTTTGGACATCCCCCGCAGCCCCATGTAAAGCTCCAGATCAATGTGGTGGGGGTCTCGAGTGTACGAACAAGTTGGAGCCAAATGGGCTTGGTAAGGCAGCATCCCACTAACAATCCTTAGTACGGGCCCTCATAGGCCCCATAGGCCCCAACATGAACCTCCCTGGGCCAAATGCCCTATGACTTGATGCACTTCTCACTGTCAGACGGCTGGCGTTGACGTCGACAACATCTAAGCCGACTCTCTGAACCCATTTTGAATCAGAGGAGCGGGTAGTGATAAGAAGGCTCGCGGAGCTCAGTAGCCGATTGAACCCTGGGCTTCTTGCATAGTTTGGTTCGGGGTCAATATGCCCGAGGCTGAAGGTGAGGAGAGTAGGTAGGGCCTTTGCGCGACCCCGCAAGCTGATTCAAAAGCGCCTGCTGACCACGCAATTTTCATGCTTGCCGTGGGTTTTGGACGTAGGCAACTCAATTCGTCTAAATGGCCGCAACCATACGGCCAGTTGCTGTCATAGCCCGCTCGTGCTTGCCGGTGTTTCAAGCAGTTCCTTCTAGCTGGCTTGCAGGGAACATGCTCCGGTTGCCGTTGACTGTTTGCCTGCGATGGCTTCTACAAGCCTGCTCGGTGGCATCAGCCACAGCAGCTGGAAGCCAAAAACCTTTCACAATTCGTCAGCAATCTAACCAGATTGCCTCCTTGAGGGTGTCATAACTCGGAGACTTTCCGCGGGCACCTGCTCGGGTAACCTAAGGTGGCACTCAACTGTTTCATCCAACGCTTACTTCGTAATTCGCACAACTGGTTCTGATGCCCTCAACTTGTGAGTGCTGCACATCTCAAGCACAGGCACTTACAGCAGTGGAGTCCAAACGCTGACGCTCCCGGCTGTTTTTGGCAGCGATGTGCACCGCACAGCCAACCCAGGCTTCTCCTCAAAAAGACCGCAAGGGCAGTTTTATTAGAAAGGTAACAGGCAACTGCGGCGGTTGAAATTGGACCCGTTCACAGGTTGCCGCCATTGGTTGCAGTATGGCTAACTTGTTGATTGTCTAATGCACGGTCTATACCCTCCAACTTCCGCGAATTGGCAAGAAGCTTCTCCAGATCAATCGCGCCGAATATGTCCAAATGGTAACATCCTTTTTTTTCTGGGAACGCCCCAAATTCATAATTGTAGTTTGCACAGAGAGCCAATGGATATAGATCCCAGAGAACGTCGTCGTCGTTGGCTGCGTCGTCGTTGCCGCGTGTCGTCGAAGAAGAGCTACTGTGCTAGTACTTAGCTGAAGGCAGTACCTAAAGAAACACTTGTAGCTATAGCAGTGCAGCAGTAGGATTTGCAGTTTCAGTAGGCATCAGCAGTTGCAGTTGCAGTAGTATCAGTAGTGGTAGCAGTCTGCCTCGTTCTCGTGACTTACGAGCGCTACTAATCTAATTGCAGCTTTTTTCACAGTAGCAAACCTGGAATCACATGTCGTGGTGTTGGTTGCGGCGGCGTTGTTGGTGGTGCGGCGCCAGAGGTTGCAGTGGAAAGCAGGGGGTGAAAGAGCCATAGGCCTGCTAAGTTGATTGACGGTGACATTGCCAAAATGACGATGACGATACCTAGCTAATGGGGTTATATAGCTATAATAATACCTACTATAATGGAGAATCAAATGGAAAAGAAAATGGAAAATGAAATGCAAACCCTAGGTCCCTTTAAGCACTATGCAACCGTCCAACCCCAGGGCCCTTGCCTGATTGGTTTGAGCATGTAGATACCCATTGGAGTAGAATTAGGGTTATACCGGGGTTATGTTGGGATAATGGAAAATAGAATGGAAGCTACTGACTATGTGGGGTTTAAAGTTGAGAGCTTATGCTTTTCAAATTCTCGATCCCGCTAGATACTTTACACCTCCAACCTGTCTACAGCATACGCTAGCTAGCAACCTGCGTGAAGTCTTAAATACGCCCATTTTGTCCCTACTGCTGAAGGGCAGCCCTGCATGCTAGCCCTTCAGAACCCCTAATAAACCCCGATATATACCCTATATAAGCCCTAGATAAACCCGACATCTACCCTCGGATATCTACCCTATATAGCCCCTATATCTACCCAATATCATCTACAAGAGGAGGATAAAGCCTGGTTGAGTCCATATCATACTGGTACGCTGTTCGCGGGCGCAACAACGCGAGACAAAAGTCTAGGGGTTTTGCATCTGCAGGGGGACAGGTTGAGAGTATGTTCATGCAGCGTCATCTCTGCAATTGTAAACCCCAAAAGTTTCAGCCCAGTTTCCTGCCTCTACTTGGATGCACCATGGGAGTCAGTCATCCCAAGAGATAGATAGAGAGCCTAAGTGCAGAAGGCTTCGCATCCAGTCAGGAGAGGTGTAGCCCAGTGGTTGCGTAAGCTATATTTTCAGTTGGCATGTGCCGTCAGATGCTGAAGTTGAAAGATTTGCCGATATTGTGCTCCGAGCTTCCTGGTACACACAAGGCATGGGGTGCCTCAAGTAGATCGTATCACTAGGCTGCTCTCAAGATCAGAAAAGGAGAGCTCATGTGGACATCTGACTTGCTTAGCAAGGCTGCTCTTATAGTCCCCTTTAAGTAGATAGAATATCGGGTATATGGGGATCTTATTGTAATATACCCGAAGCCATGTTCTATCTACTTAAGGGGGACTATAGCATGAGAAGATAGAGCTCATTCTGAGAGCTGATTTGCGTGTTGCATTTCCTCTGGGAATTGAAAACTCAAACATTGACTCCCGAGATGCCCCGGGGAACCCTCTAAAAATCAGTTCAGATCCTGATAGAGCCAGTCTGAATTCAACATGTAATATATGCACTTCAAAGCAAGTTGAATTTCTAATAAGCCACAAATTTTTTTTAACCACTTTACATCTCATTAACTTATTCATTAACCCTTGCTTCTAAGTTACTCTTGCTTTGCTTACTCGTACTGCCACCCCTACCCCACTCTCTACATCTGCTTATTATTTCTCATCCTCTTTCTCACGCTCTTGCGCTGACCTCTTGCTCTAGCTCTTACTGCTCTGCTTAAGTGTACTGCTGGCACTTAGCATGATTTACGTTTCATTTTCGGATCTCGGATCTCTAGAATGATGGGGCCCGGATATTCTTGAAGAGTGGGACCCCCTTACTAGTCAAGCACGCGGCTTCATGATTTTGGTAGCCATTTAGGTCCCGCCTCTAATCCTTAAAAACCCTAGAAACTATCAGTTTGCGTTGCATGTTCCGTTTGATTCTCCATTTACTGGCACTTATCCTTATGAATTTTAAATTTCCGTCAAAGGGAAAAAAAGAATGGATCCTTAAAGAAGATCTTCTACAACCCCAAGTATTGTAGCAGCCCTCAGGTCTTGTTGCGTTCCTGCGTTCCAAACTAGACACCCTACACCGTTAAACACCTAACCGGTGCGTGTGCCCACCTCTAGAGTGGCCTTTGTTCCTGTGACAACCAATCCCAAGCATCCCCCAGTGCAATTCGCATACTCATCAGTCACAGATCCGAAACATAGCAAAACTGCCGTAATCCTAATGTGAAATGTCAGATCCTAAATCTTACCCACAGGGTCCATGTGGCAATATGGTATAAACTTCTGCCCCAAAGTAGCTCTGTGGAAATCATTTTGGGCCCTAAGAATAGACCCTATAACCACATGGACCCTTTGGCTTCATGTTCGTCGCCCTGCCTTGCCCTCTTCACCAAAAGATTCTTGGAACCCCGTCTTCAGGATATTAATGCGCTGACCAGTGCCTGCTGCAGGCACCTACTGGAAGCTTTGCTGATTGCTACTGAGGATTAAGAGGCTTTGACTGTAATTTTGGAAGGTTCGACAAGCGGGGCCTCTTCTGGACACCTTGACACAGCAGATTCTTACTGAAGGGTTTCACACTCGATAGGCAGATACGCCCTAGGTTGTTTATTGCATATACTAAACATTGCTAAGCATTCAGTACCTAGACCCT